TCTCGACCTCCAACCCTTCCTGAAGCTTGGAGTAGAGGCCTCACACTTGCTCAAACCTAGAAAATAGCTCCTGCTTGACTAGGTCCCCTCGTAGCAGATAACCTTTGAGGGCCTAGTGGAGGCCGGCGTTTGGCATGCTCGAGAGGATCTCATAGTCCCCAGGAAGATAAAACTACTCCAGAACTTAGGACTGAGCAATTTGAGACTCCAGAACTAACCCTCTCTTGTCGAGATGTCGTGGAGGTGTGAATATGAATTCCTCCAATAGCTCTCTATCATAATGAGGGCCTTCTTTAGGTGAACCTATAAGCAGCTTCCTCCCCCCACATGTCTGACTCAAGTTCATCGATACGATAGAGGAAGGGCCATCCAAATCCTGGAGCAAGATGTTGGACCCTAGAGGGGGGGGTGATTAGGGTCAAGAGGCTCTAATATGCAATAAAAATTAAGCACAAGCAAACCAAAAAACAGTAAAGCAATTAAAGTAAGAGAGATAGGGTTAGGAGTTCGTTATCCTTGACGCGCAATGTGTTGACGAGGTTCGGCCCTCTGGCCTACGTCCCCGCTCCCCACTCTCGAGGAGAAATTACACACCCGGTTTGGAAGCCGGAACTTCGTCTACACAGTGATCCCACACGATCTCTCTCACTACACAGGTTGATCTCAACAGATCACACTCCCTCACAGTTGATCTACACAAGATCTCACTCACACAGCAGAAGAAAAGATGCAAGAACCTCTCTTTACACAGCCCCTATAGCAAAGAGAAGGTTTACTAAAGCTGGGAAGTGAATCACACTTAAAACAGAGAGAAAACAGGCTTTGAAAATTTTTCTCAGGAAACAGAAAGCTCTCTCTGGTTTTTGCAAACGTTAGGGCTGAGGAAGAAGAAGAAGTCTGGGGGGTTTTTATAGAAGAGATTAAATCATTTTAAAACAAAACCCAATCTTCCCATTTAGGAAGATAATCTTCTTTTCAGATTGTTAGCTCAGACTGTGCCAAACACTATTAAGTGAAAGCACAACAAACGAGGCAAAACGACCGTTTTAAAAAGTAGCGATTGACTGAAGGAAATTTCGGTCGTCCGAAATAAACCTTCGGTCGACCGAAAAACTTAGTCGGTCGACCGACCGAAAAATTCGGTCGACCGCCATCCGCTTCGAAAACTTGGAAAACAAACAGAACCATCGTCGACCGGCGCGGTCGACCGATTTGAAAGTCGAGATTTCGGTCGACGGTACCGGTCGACCGACGACCTCTCTGGAAAATTCTGAGGAATGGTCATGGGAGCGGTCGACCGGACCGGTCGACCGCTTTCTGACATTTTGCAGAAAACAGATTTTTGACCAACTTGAAATATTTGCAAAATATTTATTTGACCTCTGAAAATTCTGAAACTTTATAAAATATTTTTAATACTAAAAACAAATTGTTTGAAAAAAAATTTTGCAGATAGGTCCTCATACTTGTGAAAAATAGTATTTTGTGAAAACGCTTAAAAAACACAAGTAATAGGTCCTCATACTTGTGAAAAATAGTATTTTGTGAAAACGCTTAAAAAACACAAGTATGAAAACGTGAGTGTGATTCCCAATAGCTTCAAGTAAAATCAGTAACTCTTTGCCTACATTCTAGCACTAGAGAGAAAAGCAAAAGAAAGCTAATATCCTCATATAGAGAACAATACTTGAGCTTTGATATAGCTTGAATCGGATGAAGCTTTTATTCGAATTTGTCGTTCTTGCAATAACGTTGCTTCATCTCTTGGCCTCCTCCTCCTTTGGATATCTTCGTTGTAGCGTATATTCCATCCATCCTCCATTAATGGCACTAACGAGCTTAATAAAGGAATTTGCTACATTTACACTCAATAAGCCATTAGTACCGATAATGGTGGTTGTAAGAACATCATCAAAACATAAGGGCTAACACAAGAGTCGCCACCTCTGCTGCTAGCTCCTCGACATCTAGCTCATTTCCCTTTTAATTGGCCGACTCAACTACTGCCATTTCACCCACCCACCCCCCCCAGCTTGTACAGGGGACTCCTAATCAACCACGACGATCTTGACCGACTTGACCCAAGCAACCTCAGAGAGAGGGACGAGGGAATTTTCGCCTTCCTCAGCTTCTTGATCTTGAGCAACCTCCCTTGCTGCGGCCACATCCCTGCTATGCGCTAGTTCAGCACTCCCAGAAGGACTTTGGATGCCCACTCTTCTCAATTGCCTCTTTTTCCTCTCAAACCTCTCGACCTTGGTAATAGAAGCACTTGGCCCGGCCAACTAAGCCACAATTTCAACTGCTTTCGCTGCGACCTCCTCGGTCTCTTCTAGGTCCAAGCAAATCTCAAGCGTATTTGGGGCCTGATTAGGGCATCTACCTTATATTGGCTCCGCTAGCGGCAACATCAAGACCGTTGCTCGAACTTTGTCTTCTTCAGTCGGTGAAATCCCGGAGATGCCGGCCACTCATAAGATCGAATGATCAAACATGTTCTAATTCCTATATGACTCAAAGTAGGCCCGAATCCTCTCGAGCCCATGCTTTTCCTCGGCCGTAAGAAAATCTGGCTTTAGGATGTCCTTCTTATTATCGGGCGAAGCCGAGCAAGATAGAATCGGTTTGGGCCCAAAGATCCAGATGATCTTCTCCTTTTAGTCCTTGTTCGTCTCAGGAGAGTTCGAGACGACTTTGAAACCACCCAGAGTCTAGAAGTAATAGTGGATCTTGTTCTTCCCAGTCTTGACACTGAGGAGGTGGCCAAGGATTTAGAAAGTTGGCTCGACTCCCACACGGTGACAGATCACCACAAACCCCACCATTGTGGCAATGGAGTTCGACTTAATCTGAGAAGGCAAGACCCCCAGAGCCTCGAAGGTGCGGCGAAGAAACAGGTGGAACGGAAAGCGAATGCCATACTCCAAATGCTTGATATACACCAGAGCGATGATGCCGATGTGGTTATACACTACCTGATTCTTCTCCGACACTAACAGCGTGAACTTACGACGGATATAGAAGCGGTTGTAGTAGCCCTTGAGCACCATAGAGTGCATCTTCGAGTGAAACTTCCATAGTAGATCGATCCTGGCCTCATTATCAGTGGTGGCGACGGTAGAAGATGAAGCCATTTGTGAGTTCTGAGTCTCGAGTGAAGGAGATCACTGGAAGATGCAGAGAAGATGATTGGAAATCGCTCAAGCATCAAGAGTTTTAGGGTTTTGAAAGTAAAGCTAACCCTTCCGAAGAGTAGAGGTATATATAGGCATGGAGGCAGGCACGTGGTGAGATCACAGCGGTCAACTTGGTCGTTGATGGACGGCTATGATCAATCTCGGTATTCAACAGACCACTTAGGAACCCGAAGCACTACCTTCTAATTGGCATGCATTCCGCGCTCAGAGAACGAGGCAACACTAACACATGATCTCCCATGATATCAGAACGTCACATCAAAAGCGACCCCTCAGTGATCTCTCTTAAATGTGCCTCAAAATCTCAACAGCCAATAGTTCATTTCACTCGGATTCAGCCACCCAAGTCGAAGTAAAAGGGGCCAATGTTACTACACAAAAACGACTAAGTGTTAACCCTCTCCAGGAGCCGTCACATGTCTGTATTAACTAAGCATCAGATCAACTTTACCCTAGGCAGGATGGCTCAAGCAACATCGAGACTCGACCCTTCCTAAGGTAGGTTGTGTTGAAAGGCGTCCTCACTCGAAGCCACTACTTGAGTCAACCCTACTCCCCTACACCCTACGAGGCCAGGTCAAGAACTTTCGAATCCAAGATGAAAAAAGCAGCATTTATCGGCCTGCTCGCAAGAATGGAACGAAAGGCGTCATGTGTCGACCCTCTCAAGGAGACGAGTCAAAAGGCGGTTTGTCCTTGAATCCCCTATCAATAGTCGATCACCATCACATTGAATGCATGATCAGAATCATCATTGCTTCAGCCCCAAAAGTCTTTATGACTCATCAGACCTCGTCAACACCATGCATTTCTCATCGCCATCACATTAAATGCATAGGTGACTCATCCTCTCTGCAACCAACACCTGTAAAATAACTGTCGATTGCGCCGTCTGCTTGGACTTGGCCAAAGTTATGCAATTGCTCCTCTGGACTTGCTGTAAATAGAGGCGTTGTCTGCTGCATATGGGTAAGAAAATTTCTTGCTACTGAACACACTTTAACCCTACTTCTTCTCCACTCAAGCTCACTACTGACTTGATCGTCAGAGGAACCACCGGAGACCCCATCTCCGATCCTCTCACGTGTTGTTCATGTACAGGAATGGATTCTCTACTCTAGAGTCGACTGTCTAAAGAAGATTAATGGACTCTAATACACTGACAAATCCACAATTAATCCCCTATTTGATAACTGACATCAACAAGTGGGGAATTTCACAGTTTTTATTTGATGGTGATAATGGATTATGTTCGATCCCATGATTTTCCACGTAGAGGATTTTCTACGTTAAATCTTGTGTATGATTCTTTTTATTGCGCTTAGTGGTTTACAATGTTTTTGCATGTTCTAAAAATCCCAATAGTACTTGCTGATCGAGATCATATAGTTTATTCATTCGAGTCATAAGGCAATTTCGGACATTGCAATTATTAATCCATGTAGCATGACAATGCACCACATGCAATAAGAGAAGCTAGCCATTTCTCATATTTGAACTATTTTATTAGCACATATCCTCAATAATTTTATTTGCAACAAAACAATTTTCTCTTTCTCTCATCCTCTCTCCCCCACCCACCGCTAAGGATCGAAATAGCATTTATAGCCAATAATAATATGTACGAGAGAGATTTCTTTTTTCTCTTTTTTGTGAATAAACTCTCTTGTTGCAGAAGTATGTATTCATAAAGTAATTAAGGAATAACAAGTAACTAACCTCTGACAATTAACTCTTGAAATACATAAACAATGAAATTGCACCCTTGATGCAGGAACCCCAGGATGCATACTGATAACCCAATGTTTCAAACTTATTTACGCTTATGCAGATGGCTTGAGATTTCACAATTAATTTTCCTGTGAATAAATTATATGTTAATTTACAGAAGAAGAATTAGCATTTGATTGCGTAAATCTGTGTCGGTATACATATGTAACAATGGTTGGGATATAATATTTTTCATGAAGGTGTAGCGGTGGTAGGAATCCGGAGTACTTGTTGCAGTAATCTTGCAGCAAGACGTTGTGAGATTCCCCCAACAACTTGTCCGCTAAGGTTGCGAGCTTCTGGTTCTTGAAGAACCTGTCAACACATAAGAAAAATCGCATAAGATTTTTGTTTACAATGAAAAACATGAATCTATATCAAGATAAGAAAATAAAAACAAAAGAAAGGAAGTTTTTGGTAAAAATATAACAGATACGGAGAGATTGTTCGGAAAATTTCCTCACTCTGTCATTCTTTAAATAGACAAGAATTTACCAGCAGAAACTTCAAGTGCTTGCATTCAGTTTATTAATTGTAGCATTGTTTCAAGGACAGCTCCCTTTGGAAAGCGTATTTTCCCATCAAAACCATTTCTGAATCCTCATTATATTAAGATTTCTCAACTTGCAGAACTTTTAAGCAGCTGCAGCTGTAACGTATTATTAGAAAACACGCCTAAGTACCTACCCAGTGGAACAAAATTTACCTAATCTGCCAGACTCATTTGCTAAAATTGAAAAACAACGTTTACACGTATAGAATTCAGCTTCACGGCCAGGAAAACCCATATTTTAAATATTTTGAACCTAGTCAATGATATACCTATAGACCCCTTAATGAAGGAAAAAACTAATCCAACCTTGGGTTGACCAGAGATCAGCATTACAGCTTAAAAGAAGCCCCTGGTGCTTAACCATCATCTTTCTTGATACGAGGTTGGCATTTGTTATAAACCACTTGTTCACGAAAGTAATTCCGTTCTAAAAGTGTCACTACGATTTGAATCTGCATACGATTAGTATTTGGACATGTCCATTGTCGCCACCCTTCTAGCAAATGAAGTTGCTTCTAAACAATACAGGAGAGGAGTCCCCCCCCCCCCCCCCCCCCCCACAACACAACACCANAACAAACAGAAAGCAATTTGTGGGAGTGATTAGAATTATCTCATTATGACCCACAGTGAAGTTTGCTGGAGAATAGAGGAAGAGTGCAAAACATACAAGAAAGATGGTTAGCTGCTACTTTGAGGTTAATTCATGATGAATCCAACAATCAATTCATCAGTTGGACAGGATCACTTACATTTGATTGGAGAAATGGTTTTTCAGTTGCTTCTCTTTCATTATAACTCTCTTGTGCAACTATAGAATTGTCTGTATCTTTATCAACCTCTATTGACATATAGAAAACTACAGGTTTATGCAATGTATGTGCACATTGAGCACAATAGTTAAAAAGAGAGATGTTTATCATTAATTCTCGAAGAAAACATCTCATGAGATAAGTAGAAACCTTTCCAGTTGGTTTCAAGTACAATGTGGACAGTCTTGATGATGTAACTAAAAAATGGACTGTGTTACATATATGGCATACTAATGGTATATTGAGGTTGAAGATTGGTGAACAAGCGTATTTTAGGGATATTCAAATACAGTTGTGTGGACTGGGGGTCAACGGAGTGCAGTCATTCTTTCCCCTCTCCCGTCAAAGGGGAAGGAAGCATCATTTCTCAAGCCCAAGGGGCTTAAGGCAATCTTGCCTAAATAATAGCCTGATATGAGGAACTAGCACAGTTGAAATATGCTGCTTATATGATAGAGTTGGTCATAGGTTGAAGGAACTCTAACAGCCAAAAGAAGAAACTTTTACCCATCAAAATAGAGAAGTCAGAACTAATTACCTTAATCAACGTAAGAAAAAAAAAGGAAACTTTTCAAATAGAAACTGAAGGAAAACTGATCATTCACTAATTGATGCATCTTTAAGTCGAATAAACAGGTGAGAGAAGTTACCCGTAGAATAGGCAACAGAAGGCTTGGATCAAAATTTTGCGAGGATCTCAAAAGGCCCCATATTCTAAACACCCTATCACGGAGTTCAAGCATTCGTTCCCGATCACCATCATCCATCCTAAAGGGCTGTGTGGTTCCATTAGATATAATACTTTTCACAGGCTCAGGAATGGAATTGTACGTATCTATCATTGTGCCAAAAACAACTGCTTCAGTGACACACACAGCCTCTTTCCCAACTAGGGCTCTCAGTTCTTCTCCACCAGGACCCAGTAATAGCTTCAATACCGGCTGTAAAGCCTCTTTAGCTGTAAAATCTCTATCTTTTCGCCCCTGAACCAGAAGATTTTCAAGCCTATTCCACCTGTATATAAACATGTACAATATGAGCTAAATAGTTTTCCATGATAAGGCTTCTTAGAATCTATAGTAAGAAAAATAGTTTACCAACAGAAGGACGTGCCTGAATCTGCCATCTTTGAACAAAAGCTCTATAAGAGCATCTCTAAGGTATGGATTCGGGTCAGTGAGAAGCCTTTTTGCAAAATATGGATATGAAGCAGCAAGGACCTTAAAATTGGGATCGGCATATAGTGCTAGACCTTCCAGCACCGTGAGAGATCTCAATATCAGTGCATAGTATGCTGGAACTGCAAGAAGTAAACCAGTGATTCAGCGAAATATCATATATTTTCTACAGGGGAAGTTTTCATTTTCTACACGAACATAATAAATTTTTGCTTAGATGTTTTCCATTGCCATACAACTTGCAAAACAAAAAACATGAGCAAACTTGCTTGCCAAGTAAATAAAAACTCACCATTAAATGGATACTGATATAAAACATTTCCTAGGCCATCCACAAGGGTCTTGAAGTTGAGTTCACTGACAGTTGCATTAAGTGCATCATCAAAGAAGCTTCTAAGTGCAGGCACAATCGGAGAAACATCTACATCAGGTGACAAAAAGTTCAAGGCATAGTAATCTTGAGCCATAGCTTCATAGTCCCGATTAACCAAATGAACAACATGACCAATAATAGCAGATCTTGCATCTTCTGGGGTTTCACTCATCATCCCAAAATCAAGAAAAGCAAGTTTACCATCAGGTGTAGCAAGGAGGTTCCCTGGATGAGGATCGGCATGAAAGTATCCATATTCAAGCAACTGCCTCAAGCTACATTGAATACCAGTGTTAACTAAATCTAGCAACTTCAGGCCTTGCTTCTCAATAGCTTCTTGCTCACTTAATTTGACACCATCAACCCAGTCCATGGTCAATACTTTAACACTTGTGTAATCCCAAAATATATCTGGTACTAGAACATCTGCCTTATCAGCATATAACTTCTTAAATCTCCGAGCATTTTGACCTTCCTGCACAGAGATTTAGTAACAACAAGACTTAATCCAATGTGATGCTTTTGTTGGATCCTATAATTTCTATTTCGGCTGCCACAAGACAGTAAGAAATATCATACAAATTAGATTTTGTACAGGACTAATTATAGGGGATTTTGTGCTAAAGTTTACATGATTTGCCTGATAAACTTTTGGATAAAGTGATTTCCTAACATGATATTAGAGTTTTAGGTCTGAAGAGGTTCTAGGTTTAAGTATCATCAATTTCAATTTAGATATATGCTATTTTCTTCATTTATTCCATATTTACAAGTGAGTCATTTTATGTCAGAGTCCTCTGCACATGGACCAAAAGTCCCATGTGAGAGAAAAAATCATGTAAAGTTGTTTGATATACATGATTAGTTCATAACCAATCACCTTAAATATAAGATAAAATATGTTTTATGACATATACCTGCACATAATTTAGCTCTTGATAGACCCTGCGTGCAAACTCGTCAATTAGAGCAACAACATCGCTGGAAATAAAGTCCACATATTTATTTATTAGGAAACCCAAACCCCTAATAAGATAAAAATCCAGGCCAATAGCTTCTTCGATACCCGGGCGTTGCACCTTCACAGCAACAATCTGACCAGAATATTTCAGTTGTGCTTTGTAAACTTGCCCTAAACTGGCAGCTGCAATGGGAGATGGTGATATCACTGAGTAAATGGAATCAAGAGGTAATCCCAGCTCCCTCTCAATGCATGCAAATGCCTCAGCATCTGGAAATGTAGGTAGTGCATCCTGTCAAATGAGGAAAAAATTATGTTAAGCCTTGAAAACTAGTCTCCAATAACCGTCGATGAGATATATTCACCACACAGAGGAATCTAGTTGATAAGCATGACCCATGACCATCTAATAACAAAGTTTTATGGAAATTTGGAAATGTGTTTTCTGAAAAATGAGAAGACTGGCAGAATAATTATCCCGCATACTGAAATTCTTTTCTTTTAGGATACTTCCTCTCAAAATGAAAACAAAGGTGACTGACACGGTGCAAGATCGGAAAATTTTACTTATCTTTGTCTGTAGGCAAAAGAATGGAGAAAAAAATCAAATGTCATTCCAGCTCACAACCAAAGGTTTTACTCATGCTTGTATATGGTTCAAACCCACATATACAATTACACATTTCTACTGTATTGTCCGTAAGAACTCCATTATCTTCTAGTTTTAGGGCTAAGTTAGACATATTTTGAAAAACGTTGGCACCATCATGACCTAAGTGCTCTTTCAGGAAGAAAAACATGAACAAAGAATGTAACAATAATATTGCGAAGGAACTTCTAGTTTTAGATCTACCAAAGTGCCATTTAAGGATCACCACAAAATAGGATTAAGATACTGAGATCCAACCTGGGATTCATAAATATTACATGAACTCAATTCCACAAATAGTGAGAAACAGTCCATGAGGCACCATCTTTTAGTTACCAACAACCAAATGAGCTTGTTAAAGTGGAAAATAGAAGTCTGCAGCATGGGTCTTCAGAAGAAATGCAACATAGTTACATACGTTATATCTCATAATATGTAAGATGTATGCTAGAATCTCTACTTTATTTATATAATAAAACTTACGCTTATTAAATCTTGTAACCAGTAGCCTGCCTGAATATACTAGTCAATAGAGGAAGTGTTTTTCAATCGTAGTTGAGACTTGATAGATCACAATATGCTAGGTTCACCTCAACTTTAGTGTTTATGTTGCTAGAAACATTATGGAAGTTGGAATCGTTGCATTAAACATTGCATATTATGGTGTTCAACTAGTCTAATCTATTTTCTTCCAGAATTCATGCGACCTCAAGTATACTGCTAAAGATTCCTATTCAGCTGATTACAAATACGAGCTTAAAGAAAGAAAATAATTCATATAACCAATCCTGGTTATTCAGGATAAAGGCTTTTGTTCTTGTGGCTATACTGCTCAAATCAGTGTGCCCTAAAGTAGTTATCGATAAACAAAAATATATGCATATTATGTCATAATGCTAAGACTTACCCTTTTAACTCCATGATTAAGATATAGAATACCATCTGTGATTATATTCAAATCTAATCAAGGGATACATTTCAAAGGCTAATTAGTAGCCACCATAGTCCCTAATCTGGTAGCAGACAGTTACTGAGTGAAAAAGCTGATAATCATCCACCTTTAAACTGTATAAGGCTGGACATAAAATATTTATTTTCAAGCACACACGCACGCATACACAAATTAATTTATTTATCCCCCCCGCCCAAACCCCCAACCCCCCCCCCCCCC